AGTGACTCAGCTGAATTAAGAGCTGGAAAAACAAGTCAGGTAACCATGGTGTGTTCACATTGTGGTGTGTGGTGGTTGGTTGAATTATGTTTGTTATGATTTAAAACTATGTAGCTGATCACACCTAATTGCTTTAAAAGGCCTGGTTTTTGGAATAAAGCAGCTCTCCTTTGCACCTGCCTGGGGACCCTGTGTCACTATGGAACCTCACCTCACCTCACCTCACACCTAAGGACATCCAAGCCAGGGGATGCTGGAACATGCTCTGGCTGAGGGCTAAGAGATGGGGCAGCTCATGAGAACAACACCCCCAGGTGGTTTTTAGACTCTCACAGCCACCAAATTCTGTTTTCTCTTATTCAAAAACCTCCCTGTGACAAGCCTCCACTAACTGTCCTCTGGCTTCACCTAGAGAATGAGCAGGCAGAAAACCTCATGGTCCTTTTGGAGCTCCTGGCCAGGGGAGCTCCACCAGCACCCACGGGAAGCAGAGGTCTCCTCTCCCACATGCTGCTGATCCTCTGCACTTCCCCCTTTGTTCAGAGCAAGTCAAGTGACATAAGAAAGATTTCCTTGATCACACACCCAGGGGTGCTGCTCTAAACTTCTGTGCTCGAGGAATGAGCAACAAGGCTGTGGGGCTTCAGAAGAAGGCTGGAAATCCTGGGAACACTGGAATCAAAATGCAGGGAAGAAGACAATGAGATAGAGGTGAATTGGCAGCTGGGGCTGACACTCCCAGCCCAAACTCATGGGAGGAAGAGGGGCTGGCCTGAGCTCCCTGCTGCCATGGAGGAAGGTCACTGTGGTTGAGGCATGTCAAGAGAGTTGCCATTCTCTATGATCACTAATGGTATTTGCAGCTCTGCATTTAAAAATGATGATAAAGGTAATCAAACTGTCAGGAACAGACAGATGGGGAGCTCCCTGGAGCCAGTGAGGGATTCCCTGCTTTCAGTGAGCTGTAGCCACTTACATTTCACTTACACTGTGGACTCAGAGCAAGGAGCAGGGCAGAAGTGCTTTGCAAAATCACAGGAGGAAGGAACACTGAATTTGTCTCTGCTTGAGCTTCAAGACCTTTTTATGCCATCTTTAGACATCACTAGGAAATATTGCAGGGGTTATAAACTTTTCCCAGAAAATATTTTGATGAACAGAAGTCCCTGATGGGATAACAACAGGTAACTTCCTGCAGCCAGGTGCATTCTTCCCTTCCTTGTCCTCTCTCTCAAGGCTTTGATGAGGTCCTGCTGGCAGGAACTGCAGCTCTTTAGATCTATCTGAGCTACGAGGTTCAAGGTTCTTTCAGAAATACAGTCTGCAACACCAGTGGTGGAGATGAAGGAAGGGGAGAGAGGTGTGAGGGCTCCCAGCTGCAGAGCCATTGACCTTGGCCTGCCAGCCAGATCCACAGCTCAGGTCTTTGATCCAGGCTGTGGATCCAGAGCTGTAGAGTGGAAATCTCTTGCTATTCTTTGAGTTCTCCCTTTGTCACAACTATGGCACCCCTACTGTCTTCTGTCTTCAGATGTTATATCTTTTTTCCTCTTACCTTTGTGTGCTGGCAGTGGGGACAGCTGGCAGCAGGGACAGCTGGCAGCCTTTCTTCCTTTGTGACACAGAGTCACCAGCATGGGGCTGTGTCTGTGCTGATATTACATCCATGCAACCCTGTGTTCCAAGGGTCATGTTTGCTTTATTTCTGTGGATTAAAAAAAAGCCCCAAAACCCAGTAAGAAAACAGCCTTGCTCAGAAGAGTTCTAGCAGTTAATTAGTTTCAACATTGCAAGGCCCACTGCCCAGCAGCTAAAAATCATCGTGTTTGAATGGTGAATTAAGTCAGCCAAGCAATAAATCTGAGCAACAAAACAGTCCCTTTAGCTCAGAGAAGTTCTCTTTCCCCAAAACAGTGAGAAATGGCTTTTTCTGAGAGCCCACAAGGTCATCGAATTAATAAAGCATTTCAAGTAATCTGTGGAAGTGAAGTGACACCCTGCTGCAAGAGATTTGCTGTTAAGGCCAACTTTCTGTAACAGAGTGTGATGCATATAGGATTTCCAAAGCAAACCTGTCCTCTAATTTAGGACAGTTGTCCAAACTCCTTCATGTCTGTTCTGGTCCACTGTCTCCCTCCCTAGTCATTATTTAGGAGAGTTAAGCTTGAGAAAAACTCAGAAAAGAAAGAAAAAAAAGAAAAAAAAAAGCCTGGGATTCTCCCATTGACTAGACAAGATATTTCTGAATATTTTTGTGCATTAAAGTGAAGACACCAAGGAGAGAAAGTGAGTGAAATGCGGAAAATCTCTTGAGATAATGGTGGGACAGGCTCATGTGTTTTGCAGTGACTGCTTTCCATTCCCCTACCACGTAAAAATACAAAGCTGTCATGGTACTGCTGCACCCAGAATAACAGAGCTACTCCTTTGATATGAACAGCTCTGGTGTCAGGGACATTTCCATGACCCAGCACAGACAGCAAGAGGTCCAAAGCCCAAGAAGCATCACTCAGACATCCAGGCATTAAATAAACAAAAGGAGTTTGACTTCCAGTTAAATCCTGCCAGCTTAGGCTGAACACAGAAGGATCTCTCCAGGCAAGGCAGGCACATGGAGCCAAGCATGCTTTGTGTTGCCCTCCAGTTCCTGTCCTGCATTTTTGGGGTGGCCCTGGTTTGGGTTGCAGATGTAGCAGCAGTAGGATGAGATGGGTGATGCATTAAGAGATGCTTTGTGGCAGATATGAGGGAAATCTTTCCAGTAGTCTGGAGGGCTTAGCTGGAGAACAGATTGCCTGGGAGATGCAATGTCTCTGCCAGCAGCTGTTTTTAAGCCAGGATGGACATCTGTGGCTGAGGACACGTCCTAGGTGGCCTCTCATGCTCCCTTCAGACCCAGGGCTGTTCTCAGTGTCCTGATCTTTAGATGAAGAGAAAGGATGGGACAGAATTTTCACTTTCAGCTCTTGCAGATGGCCCATAACAGGTCTGATAGGAGGGCAGGGAGCTCTCCTAATAGGAAGTCAGGAGGAACTCCAGCCAGTTACCTCCAACCCCTTCAGTGGAAGCTTGTGGGATGGCAGCCTCTGCCTTGCACTTAGAGCTGAGTATCTTCCTTCACTTTCCACTGAGATGGCTTTTTTCACATTTGTAGAACCATTTAACATGAAATATATACTTAATAATATTGTAGCACAAAGAGGCACTGAATAGGACAAACATAAAGAAGAGATGATAACAGCCTCTGCAATATTGTGTCCACTGGGTTCCTTCTCCATGAAATCCTAGCCCAGGCTCCATTTGCCTTGGACTCCCTCAGCACAAACCTCTTGAGTGTCCAGTCAGAGCTCTGCCCTCTCAGTGCCACCACAGCTCACAGTGACTGTGCTGCTGCAGGCAGCTGAAATCCCAGGGATGCTCATCCCTCTGCAGCCCCTGACAGCGCTGGCATCCAAACCCTGCAGCCTCTGCACGCTCATTGCCATGCAGCAGGACCCCCAGATCCCATCTGGAGCGTGGCTGCAGATGGACGGACATCTGTGGATGTGCTCACATCCCCACTGATGGAGACGTCCCCGAGCAGCCGTAACGCTCGAGTGTGTGCTTTGCGTTTGGGGCAACAGAGGATTTTTCTCCTATTAAATAAATAAAAGACGTTCAGAGCAACTTGGGATAAAGCCATTCTAATCCTTTTATTCTTTCCAAAAGGAAAATGATTCCATATTCAGGGCACTGTGCAAACAATTAATTAGCCTAACGCAAATGAAAGGCCTAATTGCTCAGCGTTATTGCACTCATTGGCAGCCAGGCATGACCAAAGAATAGGTACTGTTTTACCAGGGATAAAGAACAACTTCCCAGCTTTCTGGGCTTTTTTGATATTTCAGCATCTAGCAGAACGATTTTTTTTTTGAATGATGGTGTAATTCTCACTTCCACATGCAAAAAAGCTGGCAGTATTTGAAGACATCTGAATGAGCTGCTATCCAATTAAAAAAAGAGGAGAGGAAAGAGACTCAGCTGGTGTGAAATGACCTGGCTGAAGGGAAGTCGATAAAGCTGTAACTTGCCTGAGCTGAATGACACCGTGGCGTCTCCAGCTGGAGACTTCACTCACAGAAGTGCTGTAACATTAAGAAAAAAATGTATTTTTTAAGGCGTGCACCTAAAATTAAAGTACAATCATCCTTAATGCAGCTCCCTTCTCAATGATCTGTTGTTACCAGATGGAAAAGTGCTCTAAATGGATGCAGATGAATTTGTTCACTGTGGATAGGATCATGAGGGATCAGGTTACAGGAGCTTTAAAAAACTGAACTCTTATCATTCATGCATCTCTCACAACAAGGAGACAGAAAGCAGATGCTGACTGAGCACTGACCTAGCCTGAGGAGTATGGGTCCAATAATTCTTCCTTTAGGCAGCTGATTCTCATGGGAAAATCCCCAAATATTCAGCTGTAATGGCATTATCTGCCTTGTGCAGAGACTGGCAACCAGAGACTCTTCTTTAAAAGCAATCTGGGTGAATTCTGCTCTCATTCACACTTGCACATCCCCATGGAAGGCACTACAGAGGACTTCTCAGCAAGGTGGATTTTTGGAGTTTGGGGTGAGTGATTACAAAATGAAAGGTGCTTACAATATAGAATACTACCAGCATATGAAAAAGGTGAAAAAATAAAACAGATTCATGGTTGAAGGTCACACACACAATGTGAAACAAAGAAGTAAAGGTTTGAGGGCCTTCTTGCAACAGTTTTAGGTCAGTACCTGTTTGTATATGCAGCTGGGAACAATTATTAGATGCTGTTGAATACTGAGACAAAAAAAGAAATAAAATCCAAAGGTGTCATAGCAGGAATGGTCCTTCAGATGACTGAATATCCCAATAACCTCTGTCAGGCTGATTAACAACATTCTGCTGAGCTCAATGCAGCTGCTACGTAACCTTAGAGAGAAGGCACTCCTCACTTGAAAAACAGAAAATTCCAGCAGAACAAGGTTTTTCTTTTCAGTTTATTTTGCAAATCTACCAGTTCATTTTATGAAAGTATGAAATCCTACGTGGTTACATTAGACAGTTACATTACAATCCAGGTAATACAAATAATCACTACAAAGTTAGTTTTAGGTACTCTTGGATAACAAGTAGATTTCATATTTTTTAAAATAAGTCACAAAGAAGAGATAGAATAGCCTTCTGATTGTCAGAGACTTTAGTTTAAAGCAAGGAAACCACTGTAGATTCTCCTCATCCTACAAAAAGTTAAGAGAGAAACACTTTCAATGTTAATGTTCAATTAGATTCATCGAAGACATTAAGTGCACTCATCTACTCTCAGGGTAACAAGAATAGTTCACAAGTTGTTTGGAAACTGGTGTCAAATTTCAGTCTCTGGAAATCCCTTTTACCATTTAACATCACCTTCGTCCTTGCTTTCAGATGCATAAAAATCCTGTAAAATGCACAGAGCTCCAAATCCTCTCTAATTGAATTCAGTGGGAGTAGGATCAGTTCCTCCATTCAGAAGGTACCCCTGATATACTAAAATCCTTACAGAACATCCTCCTTCTCAGGAATGAAATTCATGGAAGGAACAAAATACTGTAGTAATTCAGGAAAAATCTCAGCTTTGTTATCCAGCAATTGACACTGCAATTGCATTTCTGAGGACCTTTATGCATGGTCACTCTTTCCTCTCAACCAGCAATAGGATGTATGAAGACACCAGGTAACTGCTCAGTAAGAACTTGCAGCTATGTAAATAAAGTATAAAAATCAAAAAAGAGATCAAATCAGTCTCAAAACAGCTCTCCTGGCACTCATCTTACACACCTCCAGTGTCATTCTGCTGCCTGTAAGCTGCCACTTCTGATGTGACATCTGTCAATCATAACTGCTTCTTAGGAAGCAATTAAATAGTTTAGATTTTGTAGTGGCATCTCTGTGTGTGTGGATTTAGGGGTAACACATCCATATGTTGCATATCATGCAACAGTTCCAGAGAAGCAAGGAGAGCTGTTTAGAGGGAAATAAGGCAGGTGCAGCTACATTCTGATGGCCTGTGGCACAAAGGAGTTTGAACAGATCATTTTCTCTTGTAGCCTTCACCTCTTTCAACCGTGGGTTGCAAACTCTCAAATCTCCCCTCACACATGTGCAACAAATCTGCAGAACCCACTGTAGCACAGAAGTGAAGCCAGCAGCTTCCTTCTATGAGAAATAGGTATTTATCCTCAGAGTATCTTTTAACACTGATAATCTCAAAAAACTTAAAAGAAACCAGACAGGTTACACAAAACTATACAAAATCTTCACCTGGACATAAAGTGCCATCAAACTATGGAAGCAAAAAAAGAAGTCACTGTTGAGGCAGCTACTTGAAGTACGTACAGAAGGTTTATTCCCCTGGAAAAGACAGTTTGCTACAGTCTTGGAAATGGCACCAAGCTGGTGGGAATGTTACTGTAATAAAGGCTAGCAATTTCCTTCCTGACTAACACCACTCTTACTGACAGGCCAAAGGCAACTAGGGTGATTTAACTGGTGGCTGACTGCAGGAATTTCCCCAGAAGGTAGTTTAAAATGGTTATAGATGCTGTCATTTCCCTGTCTCTGATATGGTAACTGTAATTCATTCAGCCCCTTCTTTCTGAGCATGTATTACCACAGACAGCCCCACCCTGCTATTACCACTGTGCCTGCTTGTTTTCCACCTCTACTCATGTAAATGTAATGTCAAATCCTCTTAAGAATCCTGAGCAGTCCTCCAGAATCACTTGTTCAAGTGACATTTCTGTAATAATAAGGAAAGAAAAAAGAGTTGTGTGAAATTAAATAGCACTCCTGTTGCCAAGCTGTTAAAATTATATGGCAATATGCTTCCAGTAGTTGTAAGAAATTAATATGTGGAGTGCTTACAAGCTTTACATCTACTAAATCTCAACAGGATATAAAATGCTATTTAAGTGATACAAATGTTAAGGAGAAAAAAAAAAACAGCACCAAAGAGTGGAAGAAGAAACTAGATTCTTGTCTGCACTCTGATTCCTGGAGGCTGGATCTCCACCTGAGGAAGCCAGGTGGGAGATCCTTGGTGGAGTACTTGTGCACATGTCAGCAGCTGCAGCTCTCCCTTCTGCCACCTCTCAGCACACGAGGCTGGGCTCTAGCAGTCAGTCACTCCCCTCCTGCAAGCAGTGGCTGGCAAACAGCTCAGCCAGACCCCTGCTCTCTGCCACTACCTTCTGACAGGACCAGCCAGAGCAGAGCAACTCAGTGTCACTACTTTTCACCTGCTTTATTGTAATGCTGTTCAGGAAGATGTGCCTCAGACACCTGTCTGTAGATGATGAATTAATTTCTGAGTTTTACCACGATGTGATTACTGTCATCCTTTTCTCACCACGACGGCAAATACAATATAAAACTTTGGATTTTCTATAGTGAGTGAAATCAGCATAATGAAAAGCCAGGCAGTGCCAGGAGAGCTGTCACTGCTCCATTCTGTGGGACAGGACCAGGGTAAGGCGCTTTGGCAATCAGCACCAAGTTTAAGCAAGAAGCTTTTAAAATATCCACAAGTTTCCTGCAGATGCACAGAAAACTTGAGACCTCCTGGTTGTTCTCTAAGCTGCTTTGAAACTACAACAATTCATTTAATCCAGCAGCAGATCCTGGCACTATTTTTTCCTAAGTACAGTACATTTTGATAGCAACACAAGCATGTGACACAAAACAGATTTGTTCAAGCTCACTGTGGTTCTGATGGGCTACACGCACCAAGAGGCAACTCAAAAAGAGCACAGAACTCAATTCATCAGGATAACAACACTGACTCAAAGGAATTTCAGCTCAACTTCGTGAAGAAAGAAGGAGCTCACAAAGGAAAAGTTCTTATTGCAAGTTGTACTGCTCAGCTTGGTCACTTCTCACACAGATCTGAAGTATCAAAAGCTACCAAGGAGCCAAGGACAAAGAATTCCTGTTTTGTAACTATTTTAAATATAGCAAGCCTGCTTTAGAAAGAAAAGCCCCCGCACAATATTCCAAATGGCCTTTTCTAGCAGACTGGAATTGTTAAATCAACACAGACAGAAAATATACGCTTCAAACTACATCTGGCACCTTGTAATTTGGAAAACACTTGTGCATATGGGATGAGGCAGCTTGTTTGCAGACCCTTTTCTCACAGTGCCCTTGGATCCCTCGAGCTTCCTTCACCGCTCTGTGGATCAGCAGGTGCCTTCCTCAGCAGGCACAGAGTGGCAGCTGCCGTGGGACACGGTGTCGATGCTCTGCCCTTGGGCCTGGGGGTGGATGGACACCTGCACGGCGATCTCCTGGCCCTGCTCGCTCAGGGAGCCGTCATCCGAGTCGCCGGCCGGGGACTCGCTGCGCTTCACCTGCGCGCTGCCGGGGAACAGCGCGGCCTGCGCCCCGCAGCCCGGGGGCTGCTTCTCCTCCTTGCCCGCCTCGTCGGGGTCCTCCACCCGCACGGCCTCGAAGATCTCCTCCATGAACGCCCTGCAGTTAAGGATCAGAGGCGGGAGGGGAATGCTCCTGGCGAGCTCTTCGATGTACCGAGCAAACTCCATGGTCTTAAACTGAGTGACTTTGGCCAGCTCGAGCGTTTTGGCAGATGTGATGATGGGGATGCGCTTGGCGATCTCGAAAGCCTTCTGCAGCTTCTCGGCCCCTTCCGTCCGGAAGAACTCGTTGATGGCCTTCTCTGTTTTGCGGAGGTGGCTGCTCATCATGCACAGGCGGGTGATGTTCAAAATGAGGGTGATGGCAAAGGCAACGAGGCACACAATCATGTAGTAGATGCTCATGTCCCCTGAGGTGAAGATAACCCTCAGGGTGACTGTGTAGTACAAGGTCTCGTTATGATTAATGCCTGCACACGTGTACCGGCCCCGGTCAGCAAAGCTGACCTTTGTGATGTTGAGGGAATTATCAGCAATCCTCCACCGGTCATCTGCAGAGGGGCAAGAAATAAACAGAGCTCATGAAACAAAAATCCCAGGGTAAACATCATCAGGAGTCAAAGCTTGGCTGTGAGCAGTCTACTTGTAGCATAGTAACAGTACACCAAGGACTGAAATGTCCTTTTCATGCTTGTGACACAGAAAAACATAACCCACTTACCCCTCATGCTGCTTAATGGTAAATTATTCTGCATGCTTGCTACACTACTTTTACTTCTTCCTCTCATCTGCACTTTCCAGTGTGCTTCTGGTTCTTTCTGATAGGGATCCTAATTCTTAACTAGGACTTCTCACCCTGTGTTAAAAGACTATCCTCTATAAAGTCTAATTTTCCATACATTCAGAGTCAAAAGTCAAGCGACCCATGAAAAAGATCAGTCTGTAAATGGCTCTGTTGGCAAAAGAACCCAGAATTTTCTTGAGACAGTTTTCTGCTGAGCATGCAGTGCTGACATGCAAAACCCAAGTAAAAGAGAAATCAATACAAGAAGCTTTATACAGCATTTGCTGTGCATTTATAACTTAGGGGGAAAACTGTTTTCATAACTCATTTCTTCTAATTACTCTGCTTTGAACTGTTTTCATAACTTATTCTTCTAATTACTCTACTTTGAACTAATCTCCAGATGGCATTACAACTACAAAAAGGTTACTGAATACTTAAGTCAGAAAGATGCCTCCAACAAGATCCTATCAATTAGTTCGATGACCTTCATTAATACTAATAGAGAAAAACACATGTATCTCTAAAACATTTTTTTAAATTAAAAACTGCAGGGATAGAACTATAGGAGCAAATGGCTAGGAAAATATATTCCCCTTCAGTTCAAAAGGGTTAAATAGCATGAATTCCATCGTTGGCCATTACATATTGTGTTACTTTCCACAATCTCATTGGTGCATAAACCAAAAAATAAATGTACTAAGTATGTTTTGAAACATATCCTGTAACAAATTTAAAGCACAAATTGCCAGCTCAAAAGGTCACAAGTTGTGGAGAACTGTGTTTAATTCATGCATTTGGAAAAATACAATTTCAACCAGAGCAATAATAAATAAACCCATCAGTTAGTATTGGGTAAGATGAAGACTCATTTCTTCTGTATGGAACACTGGGATGACTCTTGAACAACATCATTCTGTGGGGCACCAAAGCAGGATGGAACAGAAGTACTCAGGTGTAATTCCCATGCAACATTTCAGAGGGCAAAGGACTTTGTTTTGCTCTCTCCTTATCTCCCAATTGTAAAAATGGGAGGATAGGAAGACAAAATTATAATAAAGTCCCAGGATTTTTCCAATACTGTTTAAAAGGGGAATAATGATGGACAGAAAACAGCAGGAAAACTCACCTTCATCTTTCTGTTCAAGCAGGTGTCCTCTGGAGTTATACCAAAGGATATGTTCATACTGGCTGATGTTCAGTTTACATTCAATTAAAATACTGCTCCCCTCTTTGGCTATGATATCATGGTGTGCTGGAGAACTTATTAAAGCTTGAGACACTGCATGAAGTGATGCATTGAAAGACCTGAAAGCAACTGTCCTGTTAAAAGCTACATTTTCCACTGTGAATCCAACTGAAAGACCAGCACTAACAGTCAAAATTAACAGGCAATAGCTGAGCTTCATGGAAATCTAGTGAAAATTCTTCTTTCATTTAATTTGGAGAAATGAGGTCATATGATATTAAGCTGTCTGTATTGGTCTGAGATAGGAGAGGAGCTCTTGATTTGTTCTGTGATGGAAAACGTCTGGGATCCAAATGCACTTTCAAGACCATCAATATTTGAAGTGGAAACTGGAAGTAAAGCTGGAAAAAAAAGCAATAAGTTTATTAATGACCTCAAGGTTACCGTATATTCAAATTTAATTTGCAATAAACAGATTTCAAATATCATAACATAAACTGTCAGCCGAGAGGTTCCAAATCAGAGCTTTGCTCAGAACACAGGGATAAAATGAGGGTAAGAAGGCATTAGCACAAACTCCAGTCCACTAGATGTTCATCTTCCCAACCAAATAAATAATCTCTGGAACAATAATCATTAAGGGGAAAAAGGTTTTACAAAAAGAACAAATTGTTCAGACTACTCGAAATGCACAATTATCTTTAAAAGTGGGTTCTGCATTTGTTACCAGAGAAAAAGTGCTTTCTTAATAGAGGAAGAAAAGCAAGAAAGAGGATGTAATTTCTGCCTCCCTCTCCACCAATATCAAAGTGCTTTTAAGCCCTGGTTTTCTAAAGCCAGTCTTTCATTCACTGCCCAGAGAAAAACCAAAGTGCAAACACACACATCTGACTTTCAGCATTTACATCTACTTACTTGATTTTAGGGGCACAACTGATATAGATGTCTAAATACTATATAATATGATTTAATGACTTGGAAAAGTCTCCTGGTTGTTATGTACAGCCAGAAGAGGAAGTCCCTTTCTGAACAGCAGGACACTGATGCTTACACATATTTCCTTTTTTGCAATATCTCTTGTTGCTGCTGCATTCTCTAAGTCTGCTCCCTGTTATTCTTGTTTATTTTACTCCTGTTGAAAATCTTTTAGTTTATGCTGTTTCATCTAAGCAGTCATATATTCTTCATTGTCTTCTCCACCCAAACTTAATAGAAACGTGAAAAAATTGTTTTGTCTAGGGACAGATACTCTTCAAATTAATGTGCACAAAAGATATTTTAAGACATTAGGATACAACTAATTTTCTGTCTTTTGCACACAAGCCAGAATAAAACCAACTTGTAACAAAAGGAGATGACACTGATAAGAGACAATCTGTAATCAATTTTCCTGGAAGCCTGGTTCAAGAAAATTTCTAATCCAATATGTGTTCCCTGAAGTTATGATTCCATCTAGCTCCAGAGCTTTAAAAAAACATTTACAAAGTACAGAGGCCACAAGCTCAAATATTCTCCTAAAAAATATCTCACTTCATATCATTGACTGCGTGACTTCAAATTTATCATCTTTTATTCTACAAATAACAGATGTTAGTGGAAGGGAATTTCATAAATATCACAACACAAAGGGACCTTTGACTTAATAAATAATGCAGACACTTTTCATCCTTCTAGAATTACCGATTAGCACTATCTAAAGCACTTCTGAAAAATAATGTAACATGCATAAAAACAGGTGATTTCTAGTAATTGTCTTTCATCACAGACAAACTAAGCATATTCAAAAGGGGGAATTCTGCTGATGCTATCCAGACTGGGAATTTTTTTCAGTGAAAGTTAATTTGTCGAAGGTCAAACCAGATTCCAGACTTGACAACTGATGAGAAATGTGTTATCTGACCCATTTCCATTTCTGTTGCAGCTATTGCCAAAACCAGTTTAACAAAGAAGGCAAAGAAGACAGCTGTGTCCAACTCTCCTTCAAGCTTGACTAACCAACTCACCCACTGAATCCTGCAAGAGAAACTGGAAAACAGGCTCCCTGCTTGTTTCTCTGTAAACAGCAATCCCTTCATTTGCTTTCTTTTTTTTTTTTTAATCATTGGCCCCACTCTGTTTTCTATCATGCCTCTTGTCCTTTCATTTAAGATGAGACTAGTGCAGAGAACTCAATTACACCATTGTGCTGGAGGAGCTACTTTCCCACAGCTAAACAGTTAAAACCACTACCAAGGCCTCTTTCATTCCTGTTTTTCACCAGCTACACTTTAGGGAAAGCATTACTGAGTCCTGCTGCCTCTGAAGAGCATCCCATCCACAGCAACAGCACAGGTCTGAAAAAAAAAAAAAGCTAAGGCTGCTGTTGATCAGGAATTATTCTTCTGTTTGAGGGAGTGGTTTTAACCTTCCATTTTTAGACCTCTGGTATTTTCAGTGTTTCAGAGTCTGCAAAAGGCTGCTGACACTGACCTGCTTGCTTTGGCAGCCTTATGCACACCCCACACAGACAGGCTGTGGACATTGGGGTTGCTTTAAAGGTCTGTCACAGCTTGTGGTGGCAAGCGAGGTGCTGTGGTCCCAGACCTGCAGCAGACATCACCCTATGACCCAGCTAAAAATGCACTTTTGCATGCATCAGACTTGACTTCACAGCACCTGATGCAATTAAAACAGACCACAGTTCTGCAGCAAACACAAACCCTCATCTTCACCCTTGAATCACAGGCACATTATAACTTCCAGTCTTCTAAAACAATAACATCCCAACTGATACTTTAGATTTATTAGAGAATAATCCCAGTGCCTCTTGTACTTTGCCTGTGCCGTTGTAATTTTAAATTATTAAATTTGAATTGTTAAGGTTTCCAAGTGTCTCTGACGTCTGTTCTTAAATGACATTAGGAATCTCACTCATTTATTTAACACAAGAAGTACTCAGCAACATTTTCTCTCATAAGAATAATTATCTTCAGTAATTGCATATGCTCTCCACTATACTTGCACTGAGCCTGCATAATGCATAAACCATTGGTGATGGGTCATTTAATTTTACTATTAAATTCTTCGAGGTCTGATTTATTAGAAATTGTTTGTCTTTTGGAAAAGCCATTATTGCTAAGCAGACAATGATCTCTCACTGCCGAGTGCTGGGAACAATAAAATGATTTGCAAAATCCATATTCTTCATCCATTGCACTTATGCAAAACAGCTGCTAAAGGACCCAAAAAGGATAAAGTGTGATCAGTGCCAACATCACAATTCTTCAACAAAGTGTTAAGCTCAATCAAGATGAAATGTGCCAGAATAGAAACTGGCTATTTTACAACTGAACCTGAAGCTGAACTCAACACATTTAACCTTTATTAAACCATAAGTTGTAACAACAAATAGCAGTGGAAAGATAAAAATCTGTGATGCATGTGCTTGTATGAGTCATCCTTGGCTCCTACCCTGAAGAAGTGTATTTGTGTCTAACTTAGAGCACTCTAAGTAGTCCCACTGAGGTCAGTGGAAGCACTGATAGTACTTAAAATTACACACATTTATATGGCACTGCAAAATTGGGGCCCAGGAGGTTGCAAGTTATATGGTTTTACATTCACTGCTTATAACATCACTTCATACCTGGAGTAACGTGAGGCAATAAACCCAGACACACCTGACAGAGCACAGGCTGTAGATGTCTTGCAGAAATACCATTTGCAAGCCCCCTCTGACCCTCTGTCAAACATTTGGCAGAGCCCTGCAGGCAGGAACTCTTGGGAAGTTTATGAACACAGCCAGCATGGTCTTGACAAGAGCCATTTGGGGTGCTCCAGCATGGGAGAGGCTGCAGGGAGGGCTTACCTTCTGCTGGGACCAGCCAAAGCTCTGCAGGGGAGTCCCACAACCCAAAAACCAACCTGAGGGGCAAATCCACAGCACCCCAGGGCCAGCCTCACTGCTGCCTGATGGGATTTGTTGTTTTTGCACATCCCTTGGCTGCCTGACAGGACACGGTGTTTTGCTGTGCTTATCCCTTGGGTGTGTGACGCCTGTCACAGGCTAACTCGCCACGACACGGCATCGACCGTGCACCAAAACAGGTTTTTCTGTCCTGTCAGCTAAAAACGACCAGGCACGAAGTTTCACTTAACGCTACCCTGTCCTCACAGCCCCTGTATGCTCCCAGTTCACCCCTGGAAAAGCCCTGCTCCAGCTGGTGGTGGCAGCGGGACACAGGACACGCACACGACCACACTGCGGCTGAGGGCACCGGGCCACAGGGAGGGTGACATCACGCGGGCTGGTGTCACTGGGGCATGACATCATGCCAGGAACACAAATAGGCTATTCTGACTTGGAAGAAAACCACACGGCTCATCCAGACCGACTGTGGTCCTGCTCAGGACACCCCAACAGCCCCACCGGGCAGCGCTGTCCAAACGGCCCCGGAGCTCGGGCAGCCTCGGGCCCTGCCCATTCTCTGGGGAGCCTGGGCAGTGCCCAGCACCCTCTGGGGAAAAACCCTTTCCCTGATCTCCAACCTAAACCTCCCTGGCACAGCTCCAGCCGTTCCCTGGTGCTGTCACTGTCACCCAGAGCAGAGCTCGGAGCTGTCCCTCCGCTGCCCCTCGGGAGGAGCTGCAGACCCCGATGAGCTCTGCCCGCAGTCTCCCGTTCTCCGGCCTGACCAAGGGAAGTGACAACAGCCGCTCCTCCTGTGGCTTCCCCTCGAGGCCTTCTACCGCTTTCGCTGCCCTCCAAACCTGCCCCTGTTTCCACGCCAAAACAGCGAAGCGGGACATGGCCCCGCGGCCTCCCCCTCCGAGCCCGACCTGCCAGGTGAACCTGGCGGCACCGCCGCTCTCACCGGGACGAGGCTGCCCTGCCCGGCCCGGCCCGGCCCGTCCCGCAGCTCCGCCGCCGCCGCCGGCCCCGCCGCCCGGACGCGCTTCCCCGAGCTGAGGCCGCTTCCGGGGCAGCGCCGGGGCCGCTCTGCGCCGGCCTCGCTGCTCTCGGTCCGCCCGGAGCCGCGGGGGCCGCGCCGACCGCCGACGGTGAGGGGCGGCACAGCGTGCGGGGCACAGCGAGCCCCGCGGGGACACGGGCGTTGGGGGCCGCTGAGGGGCAGGCGGGACCGTGGCCGGGCGGTGTGGGCACCTGGCGGGCCCCTGGCAGCAGGAGCCCCACGGGGAGGTTTAGGGAACTTGGGGTGCCATATGGAGCAGCCCCCTTGGGGGTCATGGGACTCTGGGGGTCTCCCGGGGAAGCGGAG